TGGGACATAAAATGATACTCGTGAAGAGTGTGCTTCTTAGCTCAAGTAGATACATGAGACTAAATGGGCAGCTCCTGTCCAGAGGTGAGATGAGAAGGCAGAGAGGGTCAGGAGCTGATTGAATGGACACGGGAGATCGGAGCTGGAAAGGAGGAGTGTGCTGTCACAGTATATAGAGAGGAACTAGGGTCACATAACAATGTATGTACAAATTTTTTGTATGAGAAACTAACTTGAATTTTAAACTTGCACTTAAAGCACAACAATTTAAAAAAAAATTTCTTACACTGAGTTCAGTTCCATCCGCCATGCAGTAATTAAAACTGACACCAAGATCAAACACAATTTCAATGGTTCGAAAATTGCTTGATTCTGTGACTGTGAATTTGTTTCCTTCTTGTGTAATTGTCAGTTTCAAATTGTCAAGAGCTCCAAGCTTTCTTTTCACCACGTTAATACCTGCAAAAAGAAAGAGACTGGGGAAAATAAAGTCAAAATGCCATAGAAAGTGTTTATTTTTCTAAGTTCTATTGTTTTTTAATTTTCTTTTTTAAGGGTAGAGAGGAAAACTTGGTAACAGTGCCTTTGCACAATAGCATTCAGATGGCTTCTGTAGAAAACATTCAAATTCAATCAGATCAAGAGAATGGATTCAAGCTATTTTTCCAAAACTTAAATGAAACACAGAATTATAGAATCTTAGGGTTGGGTAATTTTAATAAGATTATCAAACTTTTCATTTCAGTGTTAAGTAAACCAAATTCCAGAAATGTCAAATGAAGGTTTAAAAATATTCATATGCTTATAAAAACACACTTTAATTCTGCATATACAGTATTCTTTTTTAATGTCCCTTTGTTGGTAGATTTGAACTGCTCACCTTTTGGTTGGCAACCAAACTTTCAACCACCGCATCACCAGGGCTCCTTGCTTTCCATAATGGTTTTATAATTCTCTTTGCTTTTTGTGGCATTTCCAACTGATACAAAAATGGGAGAATTAGCAAATTTTACACTCAAATTCATTATTGTAAGAGTGTACAATGTTCATAAATTTGAACTTGTAATCCCTGACCTGTAGGATATAATTGATGCAAATTTTCTTTTTGGAAAGATACAAACTTATTTTCTCTTTTTTTACAGTGTCTGTGCTGCCAGATAATTGAAACAGATTTTTAAATCAGTTAAAACCCCCAAAGAAAGCACATAGTTTCATGAGATTATTTCTAAAATTTTATAAATCAGAAGAAGAGAGAATTGTTTAGGTCTAATTCATTCAGAACTGTGAATTTTAGAACTCTTTTCCATTGCTTTATTACATGGCCTTTGCTTTTCCATCTTAAAGAATCCAGGTGTTTTAATAAAAATCTGGCAGTCATCATCACACATTCCCATTTTTTTACTATACACAAAAAAAAAAAACCAGTTTGCAATGATACAGATGAAATAAGCAGTTAAAGAGGAAATAAAACATAACTAGATCTTTTCAAGGGATATCACTCAAAGAATAAACTATTTTTCCTAGGATAAGTGAGGATATGGTTTTTCCTCCTCTGAACCATCACATTTTGGATCCTCATCGCCACACCAGGTGATACTCTCCAAGCCCAGAGGTTTAAAGGGAATTAGAAAGAAAAACTCTGTGGGAAATGAAAGAACCAGTCACTAAAGAATGAAGTTCTTACCCAGTTTTTCCATGAACTTGTCATAGTTTTCATTCCGGTTAACCTTCCAACTACCATCAAATGGCATGATCTTCAGTTGAGTCAGCCTCTAAGCAGCCAGAGATTCAGGTCTGTGCTTAGCAGAGAATTTATTCTATTTCTTATCTTAGAACCAATTTCATACTGTGATGTGGAGGTTTAAAGTTCAAGAGACCACACTCTAATGCCCAGCCATTCTAGTGTCTCTTTGTATAAACTCCTTAGCACCTCCCCTGAAATTCAACTGAGTTAAAACATAATAAGTATACTTACTCCATCTTAAACTACAGTTTGCAAGGACATTTATTTCAAGAATTCAAACTCATGCTTTCTGAAGCTAGTTTTTCTACTTACAAGTTCAAAGTGAACACTATGTTGGAGGGTAACATAATTTAGAGCATATATCAACTGACGTTTGGGAAATTAGACTATTAATGACCTACTCCTCTTTTATAATAGCAATTATCTTGTAAAGTAGGGGGATATGGTGGTTGTTGTAAGTCACTGTCCAGTCCATTCCGACTTATGGTGACCCCATGTGTGCAGAGTAGAACTGCTCCTTAGGATTTTCAAAGGGGTGGGGTAGCCTCTCAAAAGCAGATTGCCAGGCCTGTCTTCTGAGGAGCCTGTAGGTGGGTTCAGACTGCCAACTTTTCAGCTAATACTTGAGCGCTTTACCATTTGCCCTGCCCAGGAGATATGGGAGTACAGACAGTCGCCAGGTTCCAAACTAGATCCATTCCTAAATCTGTCTTTAAGTCAGGTTTGTAGGTATATTTGAACAGATACATATGGTTCTAATTTAGGGTCAAATGTTTGTCTTAGTATATAGTATATATTTTACCTTCTATGCATATAAAACACTTAATAAACACATCCAAACCATGCAGTGTTTTCAAGAGTGTCACAAAGTAGTGCGTGCGTTTGTTATGGTAAACCATTGTATGTATTTAACGCCAATTGTATGATGTATGCTCAAAGCTTCATGGCCGTCCGCTCTTAAGTATGAATTCCCCGTAAATCAGACGTTTGTAACCCGGGGACTGGCCGTAGCTGAAAAGGTAACAAGAGAAGAAGACAACTGCATCCTCCCCTTCCCCCACTGCAGGCTTCCAGCCTAGAGCAGGCCTGAACTGTAGGAAAAAAAATTTTAACTTTATATGAAGTGCACAGTTTTGATTATTACCTAGCCTGAACCTAAAACCTAACCGAACCCATTGCCATCGAGTTGATTGCAACTCATAGTGTACAGGACAGACTAGAAATGCCCCATAGGGTTTACAAGGAGCAGCTGGTGGATTCAAACTGCTGACCCTTTGGTTAGCAGCCCAGCTCTTAACCACTGTGCCACCGGCATGAACCTATTAATTATTTAAAAAGAGACTATTATTATGACAGAGAACTCCGTATTATCTAAGGGTTAGCAGAGAAGCTATGGGCCTGCCAGAGACTTCATTCAGGGTCAGGGTAAGAATGTACCTCACAAGTTTGAACAGGACATTGGGGAACAGAATCAAATTATTTTATTGATTGTATCCGTTGGGCACCATTCATTCAGTGGAGTTGCCCACTTTTTATTTCACCAAGTAAGCACATGAAAAAGCAATCTCTTCTACTAGGTCCATTATTTCATTAAAAAAGAAAAGAACACACTCACATGCATGTTGAAAGATCAAAATTTTAGAATAAAAGTAAGTTCTTTGTATTTACATTCATAACTTTAGCATTATAAAAAATTCTGTATGTTGTCTTTGTTTTTCTCTCTTTTGCCAAAGATAGTGAAAACCTCAGCATTTGGGAATCAAGCTCTAGTATACTTTTAACTTGTGAAAAAGGAGAAACATTCATGGTTACTCTAAAGCCAAGGACTGAATAGTATCTGGAGGAATCCAGGGTGATCTATGTTAAAAGGTCATGGGTAATGGATCCAATATTTCTTTCTGCTAACATAATGGGAATGTTAAACTTTCAATTTTCTACTTAAAAGTGGCAATGACCTATTTAAAGTCGGTTAGAATCCCTGTGAAATCATTTTTTTTTTTTTTTAAGGCTTAAAACAGCAACCATTTACTTCACAATTTGCTTATCAGCAATTTATGCTGGGCTCAGACCAGTGGTTCTTCTGTTCCCTATTAACTCCCTCATACATTTTCGGTCAGCTGAGCCCTGGTGGCACAGTGGTCAAGCGCTCAGCTGCTAGCCAAAGGATTGGTGGCTGGAACCTACCAGCCACTCCACAGGAGAAAGATGTGGCAGTCTTCTTCTGTAAAGATTACAGCCTTGAGAACCCCATAGGGCGGTTCTACCCTGCCCTGTAGGGTCGCTATGAGTTGGAATCAACTCGTTGGCAACTGGTTTGGCTTGGCAGAGTTTTATAACTGTTGACTGGAGAAATGGGACAACTGGTCTATGTGTTTTTCATTACCCAGCAAGCTAGCTTAGGCTTATTCACAGAGCAGCAGTAGGGTTCCAAGACAGTGGGTCTGTTGAAGCCTCAGAACTGGTACCCAGTCAGTCCCACCTCATGCTATGGGAAAAAGCAGGTCACGGCAGTAGTCCAGTTTCAAAACCAATTGCCATGGAGTTGTTACCAGGTGGAAATGCCAGGTTCTTACTTGGCATGACTCATATTGGCCAATAAACGAGAGACCGAGGTGGGAAAACAAGAAAGCCACCTTTATTTCTCTGTACAAGGAAATGGAGTCAGTTGGAGCTACTGCTGCCAAGATTACTCACCAAGGGAGGGCAGGTAAATTATTTTTAAAGGGTTTTACAAGTCAGGAGTTCATATAAGTTACATCAGCAACATTCTTAATCATACTACACAGGTGCAATGGGGTTTACATATAACCTCCAAGCAAAAGCAGGATTCAAATGCAAAGCTGAGGGAGGGTGGGCAGCAAAGGAAACAATTTTGCAATACCACACTGTAGTGGAGGAAGCCAGGTAAAGAATACAGCCTTGTGGGGGTTCTGTCTCACTCCTCCCATTTCTTTTTGCATGTTGGTCATTCAAGACCAGTGTGGATTTTGAACTATAGCCTGGCTTGGAATTGTTTGGCTTATTTTCAGGGAGGAGTAAATATTGGACCTAGGCCTTTCATTGTGGCTACTGACCTCTTGTTGGTTTATAACTATTTACTAAATATTAAAAGAAAAATAGTGGCTTTTATGCCCTAAAAGATACTCTTTTTTTTTTCCAGATTGTCTTATTGTCTTTATACTTCAGGGCTCAGTTCATGTGTCTTTATAAGTCTTTGTGAGTCCAGCTCCAGTGGGGTCACATTTTTTATGCTCAAGGACTGGGAATAAGGCTCCAATATTATCTCCTAAATCATTCTTTTCTTTTGATTGGAGACTGGAGATATTAATACCTGGACTTAATCAAGCCCTTAGATGGTCTCCATGGCAGGCTCTTTAAATGCATGGTGCTGGTTTTCAACCGGATACCATCTGGTTCTTCACCAGGATCTTAAGAGTGATGTCAGTCACATTGCCGAAGTGAGCAGACTCAATGTACATCAACATTTTAGCCTGAGGCCTTCTTTTGCCCTTTTAGGTGTGTAAGACAATCGAAGGTAAGTTTTACTATGCCTAATACTATCAGGATGCAGACTAAGAACATTACTATCCCTTGCAGTAGTGATCTAGCTCGTGTACTTATTCCTGATGGTAACCAACCAAATAAATCTGGTGTTTGTAAGGGTGTTACAGTGTATAACCAAGTAACTCGCTGTCTATATCCTGTTCTACTTCTCCTGTGTGATTTATCCAGATGCAACAAGAGATATTTGCTACAGCACAGACTACACTTTCTTGGGCTAATAAAAAATAAAAATATCTAAGGTTATTTTGTTATCTCATGTCACCTTGGATAATGAGGTCAGAGATTACTGTTGTGTCTTCATCTCATTAGCAACTTCGTCTGTTATTTGTCCCATAATGATTGATAAATTTCTTAAAAGATTTCTCCAATTCAACTATACCATAAGTAGAAATTAAAGCTACCAGCCATACCCTGAGTGTTGGACCGATGGGTTTTTTTTTATTTTGTTTTGTTTTTTGACTCTCATTTTATAGTGTGTAACAATTTAACATTACCTTTTAAATATTTACTAGTATTATTACTATGACTATCTAAAAGTAATCTTAAAATTCTCAAAGTGCATTGGCCATGCATCCACCAGGAATCTAAACAAGAGATTGCCTACATAAACTCACTGTCAGTTGGAAAGGGATCATTTAAAACCAATATAGTTGGATCCACCACACGCTAAGTTTGTCTAGAGGAAACAGAAGGTATAGAAAAATTCACATATGACAACCAGATTTTCATTAGGGAATACATGATTAACGAAATGATATAGGATGGACCTCTCCTGTTGGAGGTCTTCAGTTAATCTGTTTAAAATATACTAAGTGTTCTTCTCGAGGACAAGCTGTCCCTCCTTGGTCTACCTATTAACAGTCATGGGTCACTTTCTCAGAAGCAGAAGTGTCACAAAACTGTTTTTATGAGAGAAGAACTTCTAATTCAAGGGGTACAATATCTAAACCTGTTAGTTAAATAATTTAGGAGAAAGGAAAATGGTTTCTTATATCTAGAAAGTAGGACCTTAGAACATCAGCAATATTCCCACATAAAACCCATAGTTTCCTTTCCTTTACTCAGTCTTACATAGTTAATTTCTGTTCCATGTGATTCTGGATCAATCACAGTCCGTACTTATGCATAGGAGTTCTGCAAATTACATTCAGTCTAGTCACTGTCCTTTTCACAAGTCCAATATAGTCCATCTTTTTGTTGAGATATTTTGGTCAGATATTTTCAGACGACCAAACTTAATATAGCCATGATTAACTTGTAAAAATAATACTCTTATAGTGAAAGACCTGATAGAAAGTAATTATAAGCATAATGTAAAGGCCAAATAAAATCAGTTAAAAAAAAAACTTTAGATAAAAATATTTCTAAATATAATCATTAACTGTATTTTTAAAGAGCTTCAGATGTAATACATAATAATCTTGAGGCATAATACCATATAGT